CTCTAATTCCTTTCAGAAATGGAGCCAGTCGGAAGGATCACTAGGAGGAACCCGACGGGCCGTGTACCGGGTGGGTCCGAATGCGGTAGCCGGGGGTCCTCTAGGGGATCAAGAGGAAGGGGCCGTGGAGGCCAACGATGAACCGTGAGCGATGGCCACGTCGATACGGAAAGTGAGACCTATTGGTCTTATGAGGACTCAACCTACCGACCAGAAGCGGAGCCGGTTGAGACCCCTTATGAAGGGGATGACGATGACGTAAGCGACGAGGAGGAAAATGGCTCCTTGGCTAGGATTGAAGCGTTGCTCCAACAATACCATCGGGAGCGCGAGGAAAGGAGAGAATGCCGAAGGCGCCGTGCGGGGCAATCTTCGGGTGGGGCTCCAAGGGGAAGGAGCTATTGTGATTCAAGAACCCATGTGGAAGCGCATGGGAGTCGAGGTGATGGAGGTCCAACCATAAGGATCTCCAAATACATCAAAGAGGCGAGGGACTTGGGGTGCAAACCGTTCGATGGAACGGGGGACATCTCGGTGGCCGCGCAATGGATCAAGAGGCTGAACGAGGCAGCCCTTGACATGCAGCTCACCCCCGATTTCAAACTGAGAATCGCGGTGAGGTTACTTGAAGGGTTGGCATCCAAGTGGTGGGATGGAACCAAGGGTAAGTATGGCGAGACTGTTACTTGGGAGGATTTTCGGCAAGAATTCTTTGCCCAGTACTACTCCGACTTTGAGGTAAACGCCAAGGTGAGGGAATACACTCTCCTAACCCAAGGGGGTAACATGACGGTGAAAGAACTTGAGCACAAGTTCAGGGACCTTGCCGATCACATACCGGAGTATGCTTGTGATGAAAACCGAATGGTGAACCACTTTTGGGAGGCCTTGGACTTGGAGATACGCGATAGGGCAACTCAATTTCCCAACATGACTTTCAGCCAAGTGGTTGCCCAAGGGTTGAAAGGAGAGAAGCAATGGGAGGAAAGAAAGAAGAGAGACGCCGAGGAGGCGAAGAAGAGGAAGTGGGAGAACCATGGCCCCCAAGGTTCTAACAAAAAGGGGAACCATGGGGGAGGGGGATCGTTCAGAGCACCGGCACCGACATCCAAGGGAAACCCGTCTTTCAGCGGGCACAACTCGGGTTCACAAGCCTCAACGGCGCCCAGGTGCAGAAATTGCAATAGGAGCCACGCCGGTAAGTGTCGTGATCCACCACGGTGCTACCAATGTGGGAGTACAGGGCACATCAAGCCAAACTGCCCTCAACTTGGTGGGAACCGAGGGGCGGGATCAAGCGGCGCCACCACGGCGAGTAGGAGCCGAACCGGGGCACCCCATGCTAGTGCGGGGCAAGGGGGAGCGAGCACGAGCAACGCGCCGTCCGTAAATCAAGGGAGGACTCAAGCTAGAGTCTATGCAATGACCGAGGCTGACGCTCGGGCTAATCCCGACTCCGTTGCAGGTAACCCTTTGTAACAATTGATAAATTACATGTTTTGAGTGCTAAGAATGATAGTGGGTTTGTACAGGCTCGCCAGGGCCGATACCGGCCGGTTTCTTAGCAAAAAGTTGCAAAAATAAGCTGCCCAGGGGTAAACCGGCGCCGGTCAAGGCTTAAACCGGCGCCGGTTCTAATTAAAAATGCCTGTTTTGGGGTCGCCGTGGGTAAACCGGCGCCGGCCAAGGGTCGGGGAGACTTAAGCCAATTAAAAATCGATTTCCGGGAGACGCCGTAGCAAAACCGGCGCCGGTTTTGGCCATAACCGGCGCCGGTCTGGGGGAAAAAGAGGTCGGAAAAATCACCGTGCTCGTAACCGGGGCCGGTTTCGAAGAAAAACATTTTTCGAAGTTGCCGAAGGTAAACCGGCGCCGGTTTTGGCCATAACTGGCGCCGGTCCAGTTAATTTTGCGTGTATCCGGCCATCCCGAAGGAAAACCGGCGCCGGTCGGGCCTAGAACCGGCGCCGGTCCAGCGTATGTTGGCCCGAGAGTGTTCGTTTGAGCCCATTTTCGATCCGGTACTTGAGTAGTGTGTCTTACATCATCTCTAAATGTAGGAACACTATTGATCAATGGAAGAAATGCAAGAGTTCTCATTGATACCGGGGCGCAACGTTCATTTGTGAGTGAAGCGTTCACCGAAGGTCTTGACGTGCCTTTGACGCCAATGACGCAAACGCTGTTAGTCTCCACGCCATTAGGAGATGATGTGGAGAGGAACCATTTCTACCCTTCGTGTGAGGTAGAAGTGACGGGTCAACCTTTGACTTGTGACTTCGTACCTCTAAGCATGTTAGAATTCGATGCAATTCTAGGGATGGATTGGCTCGAGAAACATCATGCTCGAGTGGATTGTTATGCCAAGGTTTTCGAACTCGAGGATGCTGAGGAAAACACTCTACGTTTCGAGGGAGATCGGGGAGGATCTCATAGTTGTATAATATCCGTGATGAGGGCACGGAAGATGATGAGGAAGGGATGTCATGCATACCTTGCTTATGTGGTGGATGAGGCAAAGAAGGAGGTTGACATCAACGATGTACGTGTCGTGTGCAAGTATCCGGATGTCTTTCCCAAAGACTTGCCGCGGCTTCCACCCGACAGGGAGATCGAATTTGTGATTGAAGTGGAGCCGGGAACCAAACCCATTTCGATTCCTCCTTATCGAATGGCACCGGCCGAGCTTCAAGAGTTGAAGGTTCAACTTCAGGAGCTATTGGACAACGGGTTCATTAGACCCAGTCATTCACCGTGGGGAGCACCCGTACTCTTCGTAAAGAAGAAAGATGGTACACTAAGAATGTGTATAGACTACCGACAGTTGAACAAGGTCACGATCAAGAACAGGTACCCTTTACCGAGGATTGATGACTTGTTTGATCAACTTCGAGGGGCAACAGTATTCTCGAAGATTGATTTAAGGTCGGGGTATCACCAGTTGAAGATAAAGGAGAGTGACATACCTAAGAGTGCATTTCGCACTAGATATGGTCACTACGAGTTTTTGGTGATGTCATTTGGTCTAACCAACGCACCGGCGACATTCATGGACATGATGAACCGTGTGTTCAGTGAATACTTAGATCAATTTGTGATAGTATTCATTGACGACATTTTGATATACTCCAAGAGTGAAGAAGAGCATGAAGACCATTTGAGTATTGTACTTGAACGGCTAAGGGAAAAACAACTCTTTGCCAAGTTCCCTAGATGCGAGTTTTGGCTCAAAGAGATTGGGTTTCTCGGGCATGTCGTGTCAAGTTCGGGCATTTCGGTGGATAAAGCCAAGATAGAAGCCATTATGAATTGGGAGAGGCCCAAAAATGTGAAAGAGATACGTAGTTTCCTTGGCTTAGCGGGATACTATCGTAAGTTTGTTGAAAAATTCTCCGTATTGGCGTCTCCATTGACAAAGCTCACAAGGAAAGGGGCCAAGTTCATATGGGACGACAAGTGCGAGACAGGGTTTCTGGAACTAAAGAAACGGCTTACAGAAGCACCGGTTCTCGCTCTACCCACACAAGGGATAGGGTATGACATATACAGTTATGCTAGCATCCAAGGGCTTGGATGTGTACTCATGCAGAACGGTCGGGTGATTGCCTATGCTTCTAGGCAATTGAAGAAACACGAGGCGAACTACCCTACCAACGATCTGGAGTTGGGGGCGGTAGTGTTTGCACTAAAGATTTGGAGACATTATCTCTATGGGGAGACATGTCACATTTTTACCGATCATAAGAGCTTGAAGTACGTATTCACTCAGAAAGAGCTGAATATGAGGCAAAGGAGATGGATGGAGTTGATCAAGGACTATGATTTGATCATCGACTATCATCCCGGAAAGGCCAATGTAGTGGCCGATGCACTGAGCAGGAAGAGTACGTCGGGGACATTACTCACCTGCCTACGAACTTTGAGGGCACAAGTAGAGGTGTCCACGAGTGGGGTCCTCATTGCTAGATTCGAGGTTAGGCCTACGTTGTTGGGTGAGATCAGTAGATGTCAGGCCACTGATGAAGAATGTCAGAAGATCCGCGAGAGGATCCTTGAAGGGCCCGTGGAGAACTTCCGGGTACGTGATGACGGTCTTTTATTGTTTAAAGACCGTGTATGTATACCAAAGAGTGAAGAGCTCCAAAAGTCTGTACTAGAGGAGGCTCATTCTTCGGCATATGCTATGCATCCAGGAGGTACGAAAATGTACCGAGACTTGAAGGAAAGTTACTGGTGGTCGGGTATGAAGAGGGATATCGCAGAGTACGTGAGTCGATGCCTTACTTGCCAGCAAGTTAAGGCGGAACATCAGCACCCAGCGGGGCTTTTGCAGCCACTGACCATTCCGGAATGGAAGTGGGAGCATGTTACCATGGACTTTGTGGTGGGGCTACCACGGACTGTGAACAACTATGATGCAGTATGGGTAGTGGTTGATAGGCTCACTAAAAGTGCACACTTTTTGCCTATCAACATTACTTATCCTCTTGAAAGGTTGGCGAAGCTATACACGGAGGAGATTGTGAGGCTACATGGAGTCTCGATATCCATTGTCTCGGATAGGGATCCACGTTTCACATCCCGATTTTGGCCCAAGTTTCAAGCATCTTTGGGTACTAAACTGAAGTTTAGCACAGCTTTTCATCCACAGACGGATGGGCAATCCGAGAGGGTGATACAGATTTTAGAAGATATGCTTAGGGCATGTGCTTTGGAGTTCCAGGGAAGTTGGGACAAACATTTGGCTCTAGTGGAGTTTGCCTATAACAACAGTTATCAGGCAAGCATTGGCATGCCTCCATACGAGGCATTGTATGGGAGGAAGTGCAGAACACCATTGTGTTGGGACGAGGTTGGCGAGGCCAAGCTCGAGGGGATCGAACTTGTCGAAATCACCAAGGCTAAGGTGAAAGTCATTCAGGATAGACTTAAGGTTGCCCAAGATCGGCAGAAGAGTTATGCCGACAAACGACGAAGGCCATTGGAGTTCGAGGTCGGTGATAAGGTCTTCCTAAGGATTTCTCCTTGGAAGGGTATCATCCGATTTATATCGAGGGGAAAGCTTAACCCCAGATACATCGGTCCATTTGAAATCCTTGAAAGGATAGGGGCCGTGGCATACCGTCTCAAGTTGACGCCAGAACTTGAGAGGATACACGATGTGTTTCATGTATCGATGCTCAAGAAATACGTGAGAGATCCATCTCATATTCTTGAGAAGCCACTGGTGGAGATACGTGAAGATCTACAATATGCGGTGGAACCGGTAAAGATTGTGGGTCAACAGGTGAAGAAACTGAGGAACAAGGAGATTCCTGTGGTGAAGGTTCTTTGGAGGAGTGATCGAGTCGAGGAAGAAACCTGGGAGACTGAGGTCTCAATGAGGGAGCAGTACCCGTTTCTTTTCGATTAGACACGTGGATTTCGGGGACGAAATCCCAAATAAGGGGGGGTGAACTTGTAACACCGTCCCCAAGTGAATTTACTTTTAAGTGAATATTGTACTTCACCTTATTGATTGGTTAACGGGTTTATGATGTTATGAATTTTTATTAATTCTATTGCGGGAATAGTAAATTCGCACGTGGGGCCCACACCGGGAGCGGGGACTGCCCGATATTCCCGGGACCAAATATTTTATTCATCTTGGTCTAGATAATATTTATATGGTGGTGGATATCTCATTTGAGCAATGAAAAGGCCCAGAGTTGACCGATTGGCCAAAAGAGGCCCAAATACCGGTATTGGTAATTTAACCGATAAAAGCCCGAAATGGAATTTCAGAGACCTATAAATTAAAGTTGGGAAATGTATATTCATTATAAAGGGTATAATGATTAAGAACACATAGTATATTTTATTTGACCCGATAAAATAAAATACATTTAAAACAGTCCGAAAAATACAACTTTCGGGACCGATTGTACACTTCTGGACAAAAAGGGTTGACCTCCCACATGGGTGGGGGCCAACCCACGAATTTAGCTACCCAAATTGAAGGGTGTGGCCGGTTGATGTGTTAGAGGTGGATGGGAGGGGAGTGTGAAGTGAGGGGAAAGGCATCAAACAAATAATGTGGACCCTCCTCCCCCACTCCACTCATACTATTGAGACAAAGTAACACCCACCCCCTTGTCCCTTGATCATTTCGGCCAAACACCCACCCAGCAAGAGCAAGGAAACCCTCCACCTTCCCTCTCCATTGTTGAAGAAAGCTCCAACAAGAAGGAAGCTCTAGGAAAAGGTTTAAGTTCCAAAAGTGTACAAAACTTGAGGAAAGACTAGGTAATGACTTCATTTACCTTTTTCTCCTATTTTTCTTGAATATATTATTATTTGAGAAATTATGAAGAACCCTAGGATTGTTCTACATGTTGATAAATGTGGAACAAGGGGTTGGAAGGTGGTTCTATGTCCAAAAATGGATTTAGAAGCCAAACCGACAAGTTCACCGGAAAATAACCTTTTAGAGGTTATGTGTATTGATTAAGGTTTTATGATGTTAAAACCTTGTTAGGAACTTGATTTAGAGTATCTTTGAGCTTCGCCGGAGTTTCGCCGGAGTTGGTCAAAGTTGGCCGGAGTTGGTCAAAGTTTGCCAAAGTTCAACCGGGAAGCGTAGAACGCGCTTAAGCTCACTTAAGGTGAGGATGACCGACTATATTGCTTATAACCTTTGGGTTAATTTCATGAGATTTCCTAAATGAATACACAATGTGATTTGCATGGATTATTAATGGTTAAAAATGCCTAAATGAAATTACTATTGAATATAAGTATAGTTTGCATAATATACAAATTTATTGAATAAATTGTGTACGTTTATATGTTATGAATATGATGGCATGATTGTAGTATCAACCATAAATCCCATTTGTGATAAGTATGCTTTTATTTCATGAGAGGAAGTCATGAAAGAATGAAAGTGATATTTTGATATTAAGGTCAAACTACATATTGAATGAAGAATTACATTGAAATGAGTAAATAACTAGTATTGAAATATTAGTTGGAATTGTAGTTGAATAATGGATGAATGGATCCTAAGAAATTGAATTATAAAGAATCGGTGATTATTGAGCTGGGCTCTAGACCGATGTAGATGACGGTGATTATTGAGCTGGGCTCTAGACCGTAATAGTTATCGGTGATTATTGAGCTGGGCTCTAGACCGATGTAGATAACGGTGATTATTGAGCTGGGCTCTAGACCGTAGTAGTTATCGGTGATTATTGAGCCGGGCTCTAGACCGATGTAGATGACGGTGATTATTGAGCTGGGCTCTAGACCGTAGTAGGTGACGGTGATTATTGAGTTGGGCTCTAGACCGTGGTAAGTAATGATGAATTGACACTAAACGAACAAAGTTAACCATGAGATAATAACACCCTAGATTGAGGGTCTTGGAAATTGAAACATTGATTATACTTAGTATAGTTGTCATTGTACTTGTCAAATGCTTCCAAGTACTGACCTCCCCTTTACGGGGGAGGCCACCTCACAGTTTCAGGTAGAACTTGAAGGTTGCTACCAGTGCCGTTGCTCCGGGAGAATTCAGGAGAAGAAGACGTGGTTCGTGCTTCCTCCGTTCCTGTTTTAAAATCATTTAAATTAATGCTCATGGATGTTATCTTTTGAATAATTATTTGATGGCTTGTATGCCCATGTTTCGCCAAGTGTGGCTTGAACACTTGTATTAAACGTTTCCGCTGCTTTGAATGAATATTTTACATTATGTTTGTTTATGGATGTACTATGTGTGAATGATATCCCAGACGCCTTGTATAGTATGAATGAGTTGGACTGCGGTTGACTATTCGTACTGTACGGCGGATTGTTGACGTGTCCGGATAGGTCCGGGGCGTGACAGTAGCGGCAGTGACACGGGCGGTGACGGCAGTGACATTTCATAGTGACATTAAAACAGGACAGTGACATTAAAATCTGGAAATGACATTAATATGATCTTCTTAATCACTTTTTTGCCTTTTTTTAAGAGTGGTCACTATTTTGATAATTGGTTCAAAATTAATAATATTCAAATAAAAACCCCAGAATTGTATATTAAGAGAAAAAAGTGGCGTGCATACAACAAGCAAAATCCATTTGATAAAAGACACATGTTTTGCAATTCATTAAATAATTAATAAACGAATTCGCTTTTGTACTTTTCTCTACATCTAAATAGAAATTGTTTCGTATCCTTGCACTCAACCCGTTTTTGACTCGCCAGTTTTGTAGGGAACAAAAACTCATTCACAAAGACAAGCAAGTCTGAGTGTGTGCAACAGCTTAAAAAAAACACTTCTCAGCTTTTGGCTTAAAAAACACTTATTTACCAATCACTACCAATTTTTATTTTTTTCTCGGCTTGCGTGTGAAAAGTGATTTTCCCTTTTCCAGGGACGGAGCCAGGATATGAGTGAGGGGGGGGGCGAGGTGAAATGAAAAAATACAAAAGCAATAAACATTAAATAATGTAGTAGTATTCATTTAAAACATTCAAAAACACATAACCAAACGTCTTGAGAGTTAAAATTTAGAACGTCGCTCCTGCATGTGCAGCTTTTAACTGATCATTGCGTTTACAAGAAGCTCCAACAATATTAATAATGGAACCCAACTTCGTGAAAAATTGATGAATGGGGATGACTTCCTTTGATGCAGTTACTAATGCCAATTACTAATCTAATATAATCGATTAGTAAAGTTATGGCTACTAGAATCAAATAACTAAGCTTAAAAAGTGAAATCTCTTATGGCACAATAAGCTTAAATAACTAATCTAATCAATTTACCTTAATAGATGAAAACCGTCAAAATAATGTTAGAATGCTGAAGAAGACCTGCGGCAATCCCGCCAATCTGAAACCGGCCAATCCGTTGCTGGTTAGTAGATGGAAATGCTCCACATATTCTTCATCTCACTTGAGCAGCTAATTTGACTCCTCTTAATCTCCTTATTGTTGGGCACTTGGGCGGCAGAGATTTGGAGGAACCGAGGAAGACAGGGGAGTGACGAGTTGAGGACGGAAATTATGCTCCAAGCCTCCAAACCTATTTTTTAATTCTTGGACTTATCACTTGTGGACAATTGGACAGGGCTTTTAATTGAAATTAGGCCCAGCCGGCCAGCCGTATCAGGGTATCACGTGGGGTTGAAGCTTGGCTGCAGTTTGCTTCATGTGGTCTAGGATAATAGTAAAAAATAAAATGTTGGGGGGGGGCAAATTTTTTATTTAATACTACTATTAAAAAAAAATTGGGTGGGGGGCAATTGCCCCCTCAAAGCATGTCGTAGCTCCGTCCCTGCCCTTTTCTATTACACAAAAAGCACTTATTTTACCAAACACTACCAACTTTTACTTTTCAAAATCACTTTTCTCTCAAACATTATCAATTTTTACTACTAATCACTTTTTCCTTACATCTCCAAAAGTGTTTTTTTAAGCAGAAGCAGTTGCAAACACTTCCTAAATATACTTGACAAATATTCTCCCAAGTTTGCAACAAAATCACAAGACTCCGAATTTAATACTCTGTAGCACATAATAGTGAATGGCTTCAAGACATAAGCAGAAGATGAATAACAACTTAAGAAAGCTATAAAATAAAATGGAACCAAGAAAGCACAGAACACCATAATTTTTACGTGGAAAACCTCTCTGACCAAATCGAAGAGGAAAAGCCACAGGACCTCCATCCACCCAAACTCTTCACTAATTAACAAGGAATGAGTACAAGAGAGTCTTTGAACATCAAACATGATAATACAACAGCCCAATAAGTATAAAACTTCAACAAAGATACAAAGGGGAAGAAAAAGGATTGAAATCACCCAAAAACTGTAGGTCTCTTCAGAAATGATTTCAGGCGATCCGACCATCTAAATCCAATCTCCACTGTTTAGAATCCATCAATCCAGGCCTGTATCTTGGTAACCTCCAGTCAAATATCATCATAACTTGACCATGGATGCTTTCACGATCGTGATTTCTCTGAAGTTGGGCGAGCAGAAATGTTTCTGCCCAGAAGTGTTTTTTCTCTCCTCTATCCTGTTATCTTTTTTGTTAGCTGATCTCTCCCTTGATTTTTCTTATAACCATATGCCATGTTTTTCAGACTACATCCTTTGACTTAGTGAAGAGTAATGTGGTGTTTGGAATTGATTCTGCTTCTACTTCTTGTTTGAAAGTAGAAGCAGAGTCAAAATCAGTTTTTTCAGAAGCCGAACTTCCCCAACTTCTAAAAACTGTTTCTAGGAGCAATTTGGAGCACGCTGAAGTACTTCTGAAATTTCACCCAAACATTCCAATATATGCTTGTGCTCCGTGAAGGAGCAGAATCAATTTTAAGTAGGATGAAATAAATGAGATGAGCCCAAGTGCCCAACAAGTTTGGGCAGAAAAGAACCTACTTTTCCTCATATCCAAATAATTTGTCATTTACTTTTTCACACAATTTAAAATAGTTATTGTAGACTTTACAAAAAGTAAAAGTTTTTGGTATTTTACAATAGGGAAAATTGCACTTTTATTCTCTGAAATAGTCACCATATTGAAATGTTAAATACATATTTCTAAGTTTGTAAATATCATCTCTCAATTATCCAAATTGTTGTAAATGTGATCGTTTGAATGTTGAAATGTACTATGGGCGAGATGTAAAATGTGGACAAGTGTGGTGTGACATTTAAAAACTTAGAAATGTGTATCTCACATTTCAATAAGGTGACTGTGTGAGAGACTAAAAAAAACTCTACTTTTCTTGAACCGACCTTGCTATTTGAGCTCTTGATATCATAATTATTGATGATATGTTTTTTTTTAAGTTGCTATACCTGCTAAGAAGAAGAAAGAGCAAAAACCATACGTTGGAATTGTTTCACACAGCCTTCTTCTCCAATACAAGTTTAAAGACTGTGCAGAACAAACTTTTCCTTTATTGTCGTGTATGACATAAAGTGGCGACTTGCATTATGGTTTAATACTTTAGTTGTACATTCCTAATCACCAATGCCAACTCTTGATTTTGCAGAAAACCGGAAATGAATTTCTTATCGTAGGTTGGTTCTTTCTTGGGCTGGCCGGAATGGCAAGCGGGTCGGACTGTGAGCTTGGTGCGGAAAGCGAGCGCTTCGACGCCGATGTCAGCGAGTCGGAGAGCTCCACCACTAGCACTAGCTTTTCCTGCGACCGCCAGGCCCCTTCCTCCTCTCTTTTCTCCACTTTACGCGGCCCAGGCGGGAATTCGCCGCCACTGGCCCCGATCATGTTGCCGGAGGTCTTCGGTGGAAGACACGTCATCATCCCCGCACTGAAGCCCCACAAACCCGAAACTGAAATGTCAGGTGACAAGCTCTTTTTTCTTTCATTCGTTGATTTTTTGTTCTTAAAGGATACGGAACGATGCATACCAGTGCTCTCAATCCTTGAGTTGCATCAGTTTAATCGAGCTATATTCTGACTTAAGAACATTAACATTTGAGCCATTTTTCATGCCTTTCAGAAGTTGAATTGATGAAGGATCGATTTGCAAAGCTGTTGTTAGGGGAAGATATGTCTGGTGGGAGACAGGGAGTGTGCACTGCTCTTGCTATGTCTAATGCCATTACAAATCTTGCAGGTTTGCTTATCTAAATTTCTAGCAGTTTGTTTTCAATCTTCTTCATGAAATGTGTAGCTAATTGTAATCTGTAACTTTGGGGTTTCCAAAACCAATCTATGTTAGCAACCGTGTTTGGTGAGCTCTGGAAACTGGAGCCATTAGCACCTCAGAAGATATCAATGTGGGGCCGGGAGATGGAATGGCTTCTCTCCGTGAGTGATTCCATAGTGGAGCTTGTTCCTTCAATGCAGGAATCTCCAAATGGCGGTGGAACCATTGAGGTTATGGTGCCTCGACCACGCTCAGATCTGTACATCAATCTCCCAGCACTAAAAAAACTAGATGCAATTCTTATAAACATCTTGGACGGCTTTCGCGACTCTGAATTTAGTTATGTTGAACAACAGATTGAAACATGCCCTCGTTCTTTATCTACACACAGGCCTTCAGTTAGGCTTGAAGAGGATGGCTGGTTAGTACCGCTCCCGAAGGTCCCACCAAATGGTTTGTCTGACAAAACAAGAAACCAGTTGCTTCAATGTAGGGAATGCACGAGCCAAATCTTCAAGGCTGCTTTGGCAATAAATACCACTGTCCTTTTTGTGATGGAAGTGCCAAAAGTTTACTTGGAGAGCTTACCCAAGGTAAGCATGAATGCAGTTTGAATAGCTGATACAATACAAATGATTAGTATTGGTGAAAGGGTATAATCCCAGCCTTTTTATCTGAAATGGAGCAGTTAGTTTTGTGGAAGTTTTATTGTTTTTAGCTATTGACCTAGTTTGTTCCTGCTTATTTCCTTCTTAAACATTGTACGGGATATGAACAAGAAACAATATCTTTTGCCCTTTTGGTCATATAATTCATGTTCCTGCTTATATCCGGTCACCACTATATCGGATTTGTTCTTTCTTCCTGCCATCTACATGGTTCTATCTTTTTAAGCTCCATCTTTGAATCTCAGAAGTTTGAAGTCCTTTTGTGACTAATGTTTTGCATTTCGAATATGGCACGATTTCTGAGTCCCTTCTGCTTTGCATCTTTAGTTCTTTACACTTTCCAAGTCCTGTCCATGGTTTCAGAACCACTAGAATGTTATAGGTGAGAGAGGTCCAGGTTCCGGCTCCTAATCCTAATTGAAATCAAAACTAAACCTTTGAAGGGAGATTGTTTTTCCGGTTCTGATCCCTAGAACCATAACTGTTGTGTGCTTTGTCTTGGTGTTAGGGACCCGGCCCAATTGTTAGGGGCCCGGCCCAATAGAGTATAATAATAATAAAATGTATAAGTTTAGTATAAATAGAAAGAAGCTGGGGGTTAGTGAGGAGGCTTTTGGATTGTTTAATTCGGGACTTGGGAGATCGAGAGTTACTCTCTTTCTTGGGGGCTTCGGCTCATATTGGGGGCTTAGGCCTGTGTACCGATTACTGTTCTTCTTCATCATCAATACAATTTTCCAGTTTGTTTCTTGATAATTCTGTATATTTCCTGGAGGTTTCTATCAATTGGTATCAGAGAAAAACGATCTTGTCGCTGGAACGATGGAAAGTTGGGAGCGCTATTTAGAGAAGATGAACGAAGATACCAGACGGATTTGTGAAGAGAGGCGCAAATTAAGCCTGCAAAGAAAAAATCGACATTCTGATAAACCATCGCACTCTTCGCTTAGGTCGCACCACACTTCGCATCGCTCTTCGGATGCAGACATCGCAAAACCGGAAAAAAGGGGCCAGAGTCGTTCGCGACATACATCGCACTCTGCGCACCACGCGAATCATTCTTCTCATCACTCTCACCAACATAGGTCGCATGGCGACTCTCATCATCGTCGTACGCCACATCCGATTGACTCAGAGGAATCGGAAGAACAAAATCTTAGCAGAAAATCTGGAGATCGATCGAGGACCAAGTCGCAGACGGAATCGCAGTCCAAATCGCGAATTTCTTCTCACATGCCGCAATCGCGAACTGATTCTCACCAGGCGCAGAAATTATCGCATCATTCTTCGCGGAGTTCTTTCCATCGCTCGGAGCATACTTCTTCGCATCACTCTTATCACCGCTCTTCAAAGGATTCTCACAGTTCTTCATCTAAAGTTGCTTCTCGGAATTCTTCTAGTTCAAAGAAGGAGAAATTACCCCGATTTTACGAGGAGGAAGCTTATGAATGGATAGAGAAGATGGAAAGATATTTCCGGGTCCAAGTTATAGCAGAAAGATTTAAGGTTGATGTTGCAGCCAAGGCAATGGGGGAAGCTGCAGATGACTGGTTTCAATGGTGGAATTTTCAAAAAAAAGAAGATAGTTGGGAGGCTCTAAAGAAAGATTTGATTAAGGATTTTCCACCTAAACACCGGCAGAAGACAGGAAGGACAGAAAGGAAAGAATCCTCGAGGGTACGAAGAACTTCTTCCAGTCCGCACTCTAGAACTTCTTCATTCAGTTTGCAGGAATCGACGTTAAGTAGGCAGTGAAAACAGGAGTCATCAAGGTCATCAAGAACTTCTCGTTCACAAGTTTATCCATCAGCGCCAGAAATTTCCCAGTCAACAAAGAGGACCCAGATGGAACCAACTGAACCTGTGATGAAACAAGTGAATAAGAGAGACGAAATCAAGGAGAAAAGACAGGATATTCACGGGCCAGATTATGTTTATTCTAATCTTGCAGAGGGTGTGGATTTAACTTCCAACCAAGTTTCTATTGCTGACAAGCTTATTCAGCCATGTTCCTGTGGAAATAGAGCTCTAATTGCTTCTAAAACGGTTCCTGTCAAAAGTCAACTACCTTTACAAGTAAAGGAAATCTTTTCAGAAAAATTATGCATTGATAAAAATAGATCTGGTACAGAGGCTCAGGAGGAGGAGGTTGGGCTTGTTTCGGGAAAATCTGCTAACATTTTTGGAAACCACAAACCGATTCATGATGCTGATAAGTCTAGTTGCGTAAAGGAGATGAACTGGATGAATGTTTTAAAATCTGAAATGATATACTGTCATTCATTCAACACTTACTTGGAAGGGCTGAAATCATTGAACAAGTTTGACAGTTTCAGATGTGAGGGTATTACTTCTATGATGGATAATGAAAATGGTGTTGGCAGACTTGAGTTGGTATTCTCAGGCACTAAATGTTGTTCGGTTTTGGTGTTTCATCACACTGGTAAAGAGGTTCAAAGCATGAACAGAAATTCTACCAAGGGTGTAGGTGATACACTTCAGGAAGACAAGGCAATACTCGTGGCTATTGAAGGTTTAGTAGCTAGTGAAGAAAATGAAAAGGTGAAATTAGAACAGGGTTGGAAAATGGCCAGGTCGTTTAATGGTAATGGAACTGTCTTCCTGCAAGGAAACCAATTTAGGAAGTTTTACATGGAAGATATGCTTTCTTGTTCCTTAATTAAGGGAACTGCAGCCGGAAGCTACATAGAGGAGTTTGCATCCAGTACAATTTTAGTCTCAGGACATAGAAATCATGAAGAACTGCAGAAAAGTGAAGAAATAATTCTTGATGTGGAGTGCGGGAAGGGGACTGAACCAAATGAAGGTTCACTGACTGCTGCTAGATATTGGGAAGGAAGAGGAACAAGGAAGAGGAAGAGGAAGCAGAAGATTGTGGCTGTTTCCTATCACCCACCTTGAGGGCAAGGTGGTTGTTTAGGGGGGAGATTTGTTAGGGACCCGGCCCAATTGTTAGGGGCCCGGCCCAATAGAGTATAATAATAATAAAATGTATAAGTTTAGTATAAATAGAAAGAAGTTGGGGTTAGTGAGGAGGCTTTTGGATTGTTTAATTCGGGACTTGGGAGATCGAGAGTTACTCTCTTTCTTGGGGGGCTTCGGCTCATATTGGGGGCTTAGGCCTGTGTACCGATTACTGTTCTTCTTCATCATCAATACAATTTTCCAGTTTGTTTCTTGATAATTCTGTATATTTCCTGGAGGTTTCTATCACTTGGTTCTTGTTCCGAACTACAATTTCTACACTACAATTTGTCTTCTGCTGTTCAAACTTCTAACAACATCTTGGTTGTGAAATTTTCAGAGTGGAAAACAGTGTTTAGGTGAAATACTGTACGCTGACATTACTAGTGGCCAATTGTCCTCGGAGTGCCTTCTGGATTATTTGGACCTCTCATCAGAGTATACAGCTTTAGAAATAGCCAATAGAGTTGAGGCTGCTATGCATATCTGGAGGCAAAAACACCACCAGAAGAAGAAGCCACGCAATCCAGTTTCCAAAAGTCGGTGGGGAGAAACGATGAAGGGCCTGATTGGTAATAATAATTATGATAATAAAGAAAGGGATAAAGTGTTGTCAGAACGAGCTGAGGCCATCCTTAGGAGCATGAAGCTAACTTTACCTGGGCTCCGCCAAACTACATTGGATATTCAAAAGATTCAGTATAACAGGGTTAGTAGTCTTTATAAGTTAATTAATGCATTTAGGGCTAACCCCCTCCTTATTTGTATTTAAATAGCTTTTCAATGATCGTTGTTACCAAAAGACGGTGACCAGCCAGGCTCTATATATAAGATCTATTCTTTCTTATGTAGGATGTCGGGCAATCGATCCTTGAGAGCTATTCTAGGGTGTTGGAGAGCATATCATTCAATCTGATGGCAAGGATAGATGATATGTTGTACATAGATGATGTCACCAGACGGCGTGCTGTTGTAGAGTTCAGCCGGAGAGGACGTTATCTGCAGAGACATGCTTCTTCTAGCTCGGTTTCATACCAACGAAAACCTTGTGTGCCGTTACGTACAGGCAAAGCATCATCATTAATTAGGTGATAGTCTATAACCAAAGCGTTTTTCCCCTCTTCCTAGAGAAAAGCATATAATATCTTTAACATTTTCTGATTTTGTACAAATTTTCTGTTAAGAGTGGTTCCCTTAGGCTGAATTTTCAAATTTGACCAGGTTTAGTTAAGTGTGGTCAATCATAAGAATATGCAACACGCAATTTATTCTGGGACAAGATCCTCTAATTCCAAGTTTCCAATTTAACACATATATTCCCATCAGATAGATATTACAATGTTTCCATGCGTATTTAATATTTAATCCACTTCAAAACTCAGTATAATCACCTAAACACACACATGATGGGAATCTATCGTTTATATAGAATACCATATGGCGCAATTTTAGAATAGAATATTGCGTCATGTGGGCATGCATACTGTCTTCTATTGATGTGTCATGTTTATGGTATACGGGCATATATACCGTATTTATTAAATACAGACCGGGCATGTTTAGTAGAAGGGAATAAAATTTTCTAAATATGACTAAAACAATGACAATATTCATAAATATGATTCATTCTCTCTATGTTGGGGCTTCTTAGAGTGTCAACCCCTTAACCCGTGCATATGATCTCATGCAGCTGGTTCATCCATTGAGGTGTTTTGTTTCAAATAAATATAATGACTACATATATGTTATTCCTAAGAGGTTATTTAATCATTTGAATAAATAAGATCCATACATGAATAAGGTGATACAAACTAATGCTAAGTTGGTTGTTATATTTAGGGAAACTTAAACACAATCTGTTTTAACACAGGTAAACTTCCCAAGTTTAATGATGGAATTAAATTAATATGAAATGAAGTGCTTATATATTAGGCGAGGAAACGAATGAATTGCTTGTCGATCTGATCGATCTGGAGGCGGCCAATTAACCAAAACGTCGTCATCATCATATTACGATCCAGTTCAATTCGCTTGGGTCCATCTGGCCGACCGACGGACGGTGCATATACGATATATGGGTGGAGGTGTTAATGGATAATATGAAGAGGCTTTGGTTGAGCCATGATCCTTCTTTTCCACAAATTAATTTCCATCTTCCTTGGTTCCTGCTGCTGAAGCGGCGGCTTTGTCGGTGGTGATGTTGTGGTTTCTTGATCTTCTTCTTCTTCATCTGAACAATACACTATCCCACTACTGGATTGCGCCTGCAGCAGCTGCTGCGTAGGACAAGTGAATTCAGACAGCATCGATATTTCTCGGCCGCTTGCAAAGCGCTTGATCTGGCCCAAACTCATTGGCTGTGGTTTATCAGCTGAAGCATCAGATTTCCTCCCGTGAAATAATACATGTTTCCCTACAAGAGAATAAGACGAGGAGGAGGAGGGTTTCTCCTTAAACGGCTGCTTGATTGTCGTGAGAGACCACCTGCCAAAGTCTTCCTTATCACCGCCACTACTACTACTACTCTTATCTTCCTGCTTCTTCTTACTCTTGTGCCGCTTGATTTGACCAATGCATGAAACTTTGGGAGAGGTTGGTTCTCCATGCCTCTGCTGCTGGGTACTCGGTTTTCTTCGGGCATCTGGCGGAATGATTGATACGATCGGACCAGAAAATCCTTTCTTGCAATGGATAGTCGTCATCTTCGTGAGGTGATGATGATCTGCCGCCTCTGTCCTCTTATTACTATGTCTGTGGCCGCCACCGGGGCTAAACAGCGGGCGTAGGCTTTGTGGGAAGGATGACATGGCAACTGATTTTGGCAACAGTTTCCATATCGTGATCATCTTTGCCTTATTAGATGCCTTGTTCACTGCTTCTGGCATGTTTTCAATTGTCACCTTCTTGTAGTTGTTTGAGCTAGTCGCTGATCGATGGTGAACACAAATATACTGATCTTAAATAAATAAAACAAAGTATCTTTGGAATACGGAGAAGTAATGAGATAAATAGGTGGCACGGAGGGGAAGAATTGAAGACGGAGTAATAATTAATGAACATAATGAATGCATGATGATGAGGAGGCCAGCGCCCAGCAGGGACATTAGTCAAAACGTACATAGAAAATTACATTACTACCGATGGGAGCATGTCTGACTGGACTTGGCACGCATTTTGCTGAAGAAAAGAAGCAGAATTTAGGTGTTTATAAATTTGATTAATATTTTACTCGGTAGATTAGTCAATTTCTTGACTACTTTGTGGGTTATTACATACACGTACCTACGTAGGTCGGTATGTGTCTAAGTGTGCATTGAATTATTCTTGTTAGTCGTTCAATTCTCGAGTAATGGATCATATCACATACCTGCGTATATTGTTGAGTGACTGAAGTTAAATGGGCAGATCGATATAACATGCTGCATTCAACCATCATACTCTGTATAACTGTACTATTACTTGGGGTTCCATCCTAAAAGGTCAACCTGTTAGGAGGAGTAGTCCAGAGCTTAATATAGCACTCGTTTCATCCAAACTTTTTCCGGTGTGAGACATTTAATACCCCTCCTCACGACCAGACACTTCGTCTGAATTGTGCCGTCATTCATTTTTTCATCGGTTCGTCATTGCCATATTTTTTTTATAACCATGTCGTCATTTTTTCATAAGGGGCCCACACCGTGGATCGATTTGGCTCTGATACCATGTTAAGACCTGGGGTTCTATCCTAAAAGGTCAACCTGTTAGGAGGAGTAGCCCAGAGCTTAATATAGCACTCCTTTCATCCAAACTTTTTCCGGTGTGGGACATTTAACAACTACAAAAACATGCATATACTCCCTCCGTCCCCAAAGGAAGTTCCTAGATGAATTTCACACATATTAAGGAAATAAATTTACTAGGAGATAAATTTTACTGTTTGGACATTGTTTGACGCTGTTTGGCACTGTTTGGATGTAGATTATTTGCCAAATAAGGAAATGTAATGAAGTGGAACTTAATTCAGGGACTGTCCAAAAAGAAAAGGTGGAACTCGTTTCAGGGACTGTCCAAAAATGAAAGGTGGAACTTGTTTCAGGGACGGAGGGAGTATATATGATGGGGGCTGGGTCATCTCAATTAAAGTTGTATTCAAATCTTTTATCCATTGGGAAAAGGGCGGGACGAGTCATTTGATTTAAGGTTGTATTCAAATCTTTTATACAGGAAAAGTACTTGTGGTTTGGACCGTTTTTCGATAAGAGCATGCCATTCATTTTTTCCACTAGAGCATGTGTTTTCACTTTGAGGGTTTCTATTTAAACGCCGTAAAAAGAAGGTGACGTGAATAAATAAATAAAAAATGACATGTCGCATTTTTTTCTAACGAACTTGAGACGAAAATTCTCAAAGTGAAAACACATGCCTCAATTTGTAAAAAATGGGCATCATGCCCTGTTTGAAAAGGGCCCAAACCAATAATAATTTTCCTTCATTTTAAAATAGTATGGTACTTACCAAAATTGATGTGGGCCACAGCCCTTAGCTATACCAATGTTCTAGGTACAGTATTCCGATTTCTGAGTCCATAATATGCATTTTGTTTTTACATTTTGGCTTATTTATTTGGTGTATGTTAAGTCATTAGAGACTCTGCTGTGAGAATAATTGGGAGGCTTACCCATATGGTAGCCCTAGATGTCATATATATAATAAAAGGTGTTCTGAGTACATTAGGAAACATACAAAATATGGAAACCTAATTAAAATATTAATTACTCTATTACACCCCCTCAAGCTGTGCAGGGAAAACAATGCGCAGATTGTCTTTAAAAAATATAAATCGTTGTGGTGATAAGCACTTAGTAAATATATCTGCAAGCTGAAACTGTGTAGGAACATAGCGAACAGACAGATCTCCATGAGACACTCTCTCTCGAACAAAATGATAGTCAATACTGATATGCTTGCTACGGGCATGCTGAATAGGATTGGTGGACAGATAAGAGGCAGAAACATTATCACACAATAGTTGTACTGGCTCTCGAATAGGAAATCTCAACTCGAATAATATGGAACGAATATGTAAAGTATCCTGAACAGTGTAAGTAATGGCCCTGTATTCTGCTTCTATGGAGGATCGAGAGACAGTCGGCTGCTTCTTAGACTTCCAAGATACCAGATTCGGCCCCAGAAAAATAGCAAAGCTAGAGGTAGACCTGCTACTATCAGGACATCCCGCCCAGTCAGCATCTGAATATGCCTGTATAGTAGGAGTGGCCGTGCTCGGCCGAAGTAATAGACCATGTGCAATGGTCCCTTGAAGATACCTGAAAATACGCTTAACTGCCAAAATATGTGATGTACGAGGCGCATGCATAAACTGGGAAACCAAGTGAACAGCAAATGTAATATCAGGTCTAGTCATGGTTAAATACTGTAAAGCACCTACCATACTTCTATACTCAGTAGGATCTGCCAGAAGATCGCCATCAGAGAGAGTTCAGTCCGCGTAAGAAGAGGAGTACGAACAGGCTTGAGAGTTGAAGATGAAACCTAGTGAGAAGATCAGACACATATTTTTGTTGGGACAAAAATAGACCAGATGGAAACGAACAGCCTGGACACCTAGGAAAAAGTGTAAATCCCCCAAATCCTTCATAGCAAAGCAGCGGCCAAGACAAGAAATAAATGTGGAAATAAAGGAGGGGGAATTACCAGTGACAATGATATCATCCACATATAAAAGAAGATAAATAATGGAGGACCCATGACGATAAATAAAGAAGGAATTATCAGACTTGCTGCAAACAAACCCATGAGTGAGCAAAAAACTATTGAAACGATAAAACAAGGCTCGTGGAGCCTGTTTAAGACTATAAATAGCTTTCCTGAGACGACAGACATGATGGGGAAATTGGGGATGAACAAAGCCAGGAGGCTGACGCATATAGAATTCTTCAGTCAGATTACCATGTAAAAAGGCATTTTTAACATCTAACTGTCGAATATTCCAATGAAACGAAACAGCAAGAGACAAGACTATACGAACCGTGGTTGGCTTAACCACCGGACTAAAAGTCTCAGAAAAATCTACACCTGCTTGTATCGCTCAACAGACCCGGCCATCTGAATTAAATTTAGTTTTATAAATCCATTTAGACCCAACCACATTTTTATGAGGATTAAATGGAACCAAATCCCAAGTATGATTATCAAGAAGTGCATTAAACTCTTCTGCCATAGCACCACGCCATTTAGGATCTTTATTAGCAATCGAAAAACAGGAAGGATCACATGCCGATATATCTGTTTTGAGATCAAAAATAGTTTTCGGTTTAAAACCTAGAGTTCTGATACCATGTGAGAATAATTGGGAGGCTTACCCATATGGTAGCCCTAGATGTCATATATATAATAAAAGGTGTTCTGAGTACATTAGGAAACATACAAAATATGGAAACCTAATTAAAGTATTAATTACTATATTATCTGCTTCTGTATCTCTAGACTTGCAAGAATGTATAAGAGCTAAGTTATATACTTATATTATGCATTATGTACATACCTTTATCACTTGCAATGTCATATTTTCATGGATCCAAATATCCACATACAAAACTTTGTATGTGAAAACAAAAATATAAAGTAACTCTAAGTGTTGGGCAAAAAATAATTAGCCAATAATTTTATACTATCCTCCGTCTCTTTTTAATCGCAACATGTTGAATTTTACACTATTCACATGTTCTACTTTGACTACATTTTATATTATTATTTTATGAAAATTATTTTTTTAAAATTATATTGTTCAATTCATCTCATTACAAATTTCCAAAATCTAATTTTTAAATATTTTTTACTAATAGAGATTAAGATATAATTACGGTCAAAGATGTGCGTTGGCAAGTGTGAAATGTTGACCGTTGCAACTAAAAAAGAACGGAGGAAGTATAATATTGTACTACGTATATATTTGGTATTTCCATAAAAGGATGTCGATCGGCCATTGGGAGAAACAATCTGAGTTGACCAACGCCATGTCATGTGCTAAAAATATTTTAGTAGGTTGAGTATTTTTCAAGGCTATCACTTGACTAACAATGCCATAAAATTGTGATTGTGACTCCTATTGAAAACTTGAAAAGTCCTCTTACAGAAAAAGCGTTTTTAGAAATTTATTTTTGATCAAAGAATAATGTTTTAGGAAATACTAAGGAGTAAGTAATTGGTTAGTTGAGTTTTAATACTTAAATTTTAAACTCTAGCTTAAAGTTTGCGGTTTCTTTTTTAGATGCTCCATTCAGGAACGACTCATTACAAACTGCCATGGGTCAATGCTCCTATCGACCATAGAGTAGGTAATTATTTGCAAATTCAACATGTTTGGCATAACATACAAGTCAAAATAAAAACGTAAATAGAATCCTCCAAAATACAAAAGGGAAATATTTTTTACAGCCCTTTTGTTACTAATCACGTACAAGCCATTTGAAAAATATTCACAAGCCCTTAATTTGATAATAATAATTAAAAATAACTTAATTATCTAAACTATCCTTAATTATCACAGCCCCTTTACATAACGATCATTAAGTGTGCAATCGTTAATAGAATAGAAGCAGCAGTCGCAAAGCTTTCGGGAGTCCATAAACCACGTTACGTTGATTCTTCGTGATTTGGTTTAGCCTTGATTCTCAGAGTGAGCGGGGAACTTTGGCTTCTTCGTAAGCGTTTGAGACTATTGCCTACTTCCTTTTCAACCACCTTAGCCTCATCTCGGGAAGGGGATTGGTTTGATGTGCCTAAATGAATAGCCTACGAGAAGGATTGAACGCACATGTCTGCTATTTTAATGATTGTTCAACAAATGTTTTCAAGCATGCCACAAACACTGCTGAAGAATAGCCATCTGCATATTTAACTCCTTCACACAATTGGGTGTCTGGAAAGCCTAACGCAAGCTAACTCCATATAAATCAAATATCTGTATGCATGAGAATAGACATTACCCACTATCAAAGACATAATCTTAAATACATACATACCTACCTCTCTATGTGGTTTGAGGATACTACGTACTCAACATCAAAGAATATTCTTAGGGAAAATCCTACCTCTCTATGTGGCTGTAAGGATACCTCTCGTTGTGCTCAAATAATTATAAATGTAATTTGTATCTGATTAGGGATCGCTTTATAACATTTTCCTTTTTCTCAATTGTAATGATTGTACAAAATTTATTTATAATATGTAATACTTTCTAATTAATTAAGTGTGATTAATTCCTTTAGGGACAATCTATGAGAATAAGCAACACTTCACAATGCATTGCCTTCAAGGTTAGTTTTTTACAAATTACAACCATCAATAAGTAATCTGGCCAGAGAACATTTAAGTAGGCTTAAATCGTTTGATGGTCAAGGATTCTAACTACTTTTTTAAGGACATACACGTTTTTACACTTGTCTGTGAAGGCTATTTTTTGTATTTGAAAATACTGTGCATAGACAAACCAATAGTATTGTCTGTGTATAGTGTTTTATCAGACAAAAAATAGCTTTCACAAACAAGTATAAAAACGTGTATGTGTGAAGAATTTCTCTTAATATAGATTGTCAATTTCCTTTCCAAAAAAGATGTAGAGACTATTAGAGAAGTCCCTCGCACTTTTTTAAATGTCTTTTTTCATCATCAAATTTCTTTTTAATGCAAATGTTGCTTGTGACCTCCCGTAACCTAAAGAAAGTTCAAGGTGTAAAATAATAAGCTAAGCTGAGGTGGTTAGCAATGGCTAAGGCAAGGGTGAGTAGGCACCAATGGAAAAGAACCTCTACGCTGTCTCTGGTGCTCTCCATGCTTCTCATGCTGTCACTTGTGCTTCTGATGCTCCTCGCTCTTGGAATACTCAATGTCCCTATCAGATCTGACGACGAACCCTCATTTTCCCGGAGCCGTATCAGATTCAAGCGCTCAGCTTTGGATATGTATGAATCGTTTCATATGGTACTCGTCGAATTGAACTGTGTAGCTGATCACGGTATCTAATCGAAGACTGGTTTTGATGCAGCGTGGAGGAGGACGGTTTGGGGAAAAGAGGAGAACAATGGACTGAAATTCTTTCTTGGGAGCCCAGGGCTTTTGTTTTTCACAATTTCTTGGTTAGTATCATACGTTCATTTCCTATTTATTTATTTATGAAGACATTGTTTTCCTTCGTATACCCTGTTAAGCCGTTCGTTAATGGTACATCGGGTTGTATCACAGTCATGGTACCAAGTCAAATTAAAGTTTCAGTAAAATGAGCCTTCCTCGTATGAAATTGAGTATCAAACACTCCCGAGACAAAAAAGAAACGACCTTCTTATTTTCAGCTTCATATTGACTGATGACTGCCAGTATTTAAACTTTTGGCATTTCTTTCCCTCAAAAAACAACTTTTGGCATTTCCCTGACCTTTTTTCTTTCTCTTTATGATGGTTTCGTTTGTTCTAAGCGCCTAGGTGATGATTATGTTTTATAGATTTTATTTTCATAATTTTCCATGATTTGAGTAAAGTAGTACTGTAGTAGGTACTAGTGCACAATTAGTATTATTCTTTGGTCAAAATAAATTAATTTCTAGTATTTTTTTAATAAAGGTTTCTTATTGACTCTTGTTATACGGCTCTCTGATTCTTAAAGTTTCATCAGTGAATTTCAGCCAGGATTCACGTTTGCCATTATGTGAGACCCGAGTATATCATAGTAGTGTATCACATGTGGCATATGATCATATATCCTTACTAAGCTTAAGGCACTTAGATTATGTGACTCACATATGATTAACTTTATTTTTCCTTGGTGATTTTACAGTCCAGGGAAGAATGTGAATACTTAATAAGTCTAGCCAAGCCTCACATGGCAAAGTCAACTGTTGTAGATAGCAAAACTGGTAAAAGTAAAGACAGCAGGTACTAAATGCTCATACCTCCATTATCTCTTTCCCCCTTTCTGCCCGATATTGAATACAGTATTGATTTTTTTTTTATTTCAGGGTTCGTACAAGTTCAGGAATGTTTTTAAAGAGGGGAAGGGATCAAGTTGTTAAAAGCATTGAAAAAAGGATAGCGGACTATACATTCATTCCTGTTGGTATGACACCTTGATTATTGCAGATTTGCCATAGCATAGATCAATTAACACTCTTGTGGATTATGATTAGAAATAATTACATATATATGACTAAAATATATGTTGTTTACAAAAACAACCTCATTAAGTGTAGCGACTATAGTAGTAAGTAGTGACTATGAGATAATACTATAGTAACTATTTGTGATATTTTTGTAAATAAGTTTCATTTCAGTAATGTTTTAAAAAAACTATTATGATTATGTTAATCAAGCAATGAATATGAGTTCTTGGGTCATTGTTTACATAAGATTTGCTCACTTTCACTCAGCCACTTCAATTACCATGCCAATTTCATAAACATTGTAAGGAAACAGGAAAGCTGAAAGGTCTAGTGGGTGGCAAATACCATTTGGTGAGGTACCCAAAAGATGAGGTGATTCAGAGATGCAGAGTTTCTAGAATTGAGGCATATCTGACACAATTATGGACCTTTGTAGCATAATGTATTTTACAAACATTAAACCTTTAAAGATACCAACACAATATGTTGAGCCTAGAACTAAGAGATATTTAACATGTTTTTGACCTTTTTTAATAGAACTTGTTTTCTGTACATTTAACTTTCAAACATTCTAACATAAGCACATATAATGTCCAAGAAATATGAAGAGTTATCAAGCCTGAATTCTAGACAATTTTGAAGAGTGCCATTAAAAGCCCAAAGGGTCCACACAACATGGAGATTGAAGAGTATTTTGCATTATGAAGGCATTTTTTAACTTGTCTAACTAAATATGCCAAAATTAAAAATGAGAAAATGATACTATAAACACATATCTAGAATCTTGAATCGTTGACCGGATTTTGTCATTTTACTGCCTTCTCTCTATTATGACTATCGTATTTGCTAATAACTTAATAAGGTACTAAATGTACATCTGGCGTCAAACTGTCAATATTTTTTTGAATGAATTAATAATGTTAACTAGATTTAAAATTATTTGGAGCCATAAATTATTAAATTTTACACCACTCACCTAAACATTGTTGGGAGATTAATCTCATTTTCAAGCTTACATCGGTTTTTAGAGGAGTCTTTTCAACTTGTTTTATTAACTTTTTCGTGAGCTCCCTAACATGAAAGTAACTGACTCAGAGAATGGTGAAGGTCTACAAGTTCTCCACTATGAGGTTGGACAAAAGTATGAGCCTCATTTTGATTATTTTCTCGATGATTTCAATACGAAGAATGGGGGACAACGTATAGCTACTGTACTCATGTATCTGTAAGCTATTCCTCCATTATTGTGTTACTCCAGTAGCATTTTATGCCTCCGAGCATTGTTATATATACTTGTGCTGCACTGATACAAAATGCAAGGATGTTAAACAAAGTGCACTATATTTGCAGGGACTAAAAACATATTCGAACCAAATTTTTAAGAGTCTTAAGACATATTAAAAACTTGAATTTAGTTTCACTTAGTTGTAACTCTACTAATTGCCTCCAAAATTTTTAAAAAGCGGAAGTGAAAAGTTTAGTGTGGAGTTATGCAAGCTAGATTAATTTTTTCTTATATGGAGATTACCCCAAGAGTTAGAGAGAGACTTAAAAAAATAGTGCATATTGCAAGGATCGAAAATAAAAAAATATATTTTGCAGTGATCTATAACAAAAGGTGCTATATATGCAGGACTGAAATATATTGAAGCCAATGAAAAGCGCATTTTGAAGAAGTTCTTGTAGAGCTCTCAAGAATTCTTCGAAGTGTTACTTTCTGAGTGCATCATATACATTTAGAAGTGTTGTCCAAATGCTATATTATTGTATGAATTCATTTTATATGACGGGACTTGTGCAGTTCAGATGTTGAAGAAGGGGGTGAGACTGTTTTTCCTTCCGCGAAAGGCAATTTTAGCTCTGTGCCTGAGTGGAATGAGATGTCAGAATGTGCTAAAAGGGGCCTTTCTGTGAAACCAAAAATGGGGGATGCGTTACTGTTTTGGAGCATGAGGCCTGACGGGACTTTGGATCCATCAAGTTTGCATGGTAATAATAGTTCCTTCTTTTTAAAAGTTTTGCCACATTCATATTGTGGTGCACCTCTCTCTCTGTATTGCCGCCAACTCTACCTAAAGAGAACTAAAGAATTAGGGCTGAGAAAGCATTAGGGATAAGGGATTCGAATTCCCATAATTTAAGATTCTGAGAGAACTAGTTGGTAAGAGCATTCGTAGTTGAGAAAGCCTCTTCTGAAATAAGCTCCAGCGGGCCAAAATGACCCAAGTCATTATGCCAATTTATAGTGACCTTTATGAGATTGTCTGGTAGGTTTCCTTGATTGTGAAAAATCATTTTGGTTGTATTTACTCCAGGTGGTTGTCCAGTGATAGGAGGAAATAAATGGTCTTCTACTAAATGGATGCATGTTGGTGAATACAATGTCTGAATGTTTGTATATGGGCTCTCTAGTTTGTTGGTTTGATGGATTGATGGACACTCAATCTGATTTTTGTAATTGTCAAATTCCATATTCGGAATTGAATGTCCAAACTTTACAGCATTTACTCTTCGTTAGCTTCCTTAAAATTCAAAACCTTATACAGAGTATGTTGAAACAGGCATGCATTGTATAAACGTATAGTCTGTATCTAACACTATTAACACCAGTGGAAAAACGTTAATTGGAGGCGCTAAAACTACGTTGTACAGCATTTAGCATTTTGAGTGCCTTCAATTTTTAAGTTTCTCTTTTTAATTTTCATAAAGCAAGATACCTGTCATAACAAAATAATGTATAAACATTTTGTCCCCACAAATATAACAAATTTTGTTTTAGGTCCTTGCAAAATATTTTCTTTGTTTTTCATGCCTGAAATTTATGTTGATTTTCTTTTTAGTCCATGAGTCCATGACTAATGATAACAACCTCTGCTGGACAACGAAACAATCCCGACTAATATGTATCCTTTAATTCTTTGTCATGTCATTCAAAAAGTATTTAATTTCATTTTTTGAGGGTTTTTAATACATATTTTAAAAATGAGAACAATTAGTTTTCATATTGTTTTAACTCTCTTATTAGCTTCAAATTTTTATGAACTGATAAATTTAAATGTTTGTAGTAGATTTATGCAACCGGCAATAGAAAAAATTCTAAGTCGAGTTGTTTCGGAGTTAGAGATGGACTAAAACCAAAATAGCGCATATTACAGGGATGAAAAACAAAGAAAATATTTTGCGAGGGCCTAAAACAAAGTGTCATATTTGCAGGGACTAAAACCATATTTTGGTTCCTGACACCATAATAAAATTTAAATTGTTTCATTACAAACTCATTAATGAATAACAACTATTACAAAAGCAACTCCACAAAAGTTTAAACTTAACAAAAGTATACTCCGCAATAAACTACGTATAGTTGAATTTTTCGTGTCCATAACTTCATTTACAAAAACTTTATGTGGATTATACGCTTCTAATATCATTACTCTTGTGTATGTGCTTCAGGTCTTGAATTCCAAACCTGAAATATTGACACTAGTGATGGACCCGGGCCAGGTCGGGCTCGGGCCGAGCCTAGGCCCGGTCGGGCCTCGGTTTTTTTGAAGGGAGCCCGGGACCGGCCCGTGCTATGGCCGGTGCCGGTTCGGTCCGGGCCACCCGCCCGGGTCACGGGTCAGGCCACCCGTCGGGTCGGTTCAATTTCATTTTTTTTGCTACTTATTTATACAAGTGTTGTGTATTATAAACAAAATTCAAGTGCATTTATTTGAAATAGGAAGTACATTTGAAATAGTAACTGGAGATGATTAGAGAATAGAGAGTAGGGAGTAGGATCTAGGAAGAGTTGGAGAAGAGGTGTGGAAAAATGTTTAAACTTAGGAGTATTTATAGTTCTTTTAACCCCACCCCCCACCCTCCCCCCCACCCCCGCAAAAGCCCGGGACCCCCCTGCCACCCACCCAACGGCTATATAGCCATTTGGGAGCCCAGCCCAACGGCTAGGGCTGTGTTTGGCCTGATTTAAAAATAAAAGTAAAAATCTGACCGTTGGGACCCAAACCCAGGCCCGACCCGGCCGGGCCGGGTCACCATTTTGCCTACCCGAGCCCGCCCCACAAATCCCCCCGGTTCGGGTCAATACCCGGTACCGATCCTACAGACCGGGCCGGGCCGGGTCCCGGGTCGGGTGGCCCGCACCGACTCCACCACTAATTGGCACCAAACAACAATGAAATCAATAATCAATATTATAAACAGAATTATATATTACATATATAATATAATATACATTGAAGTTTGAAATGTATAATTCTTCTTGAAACTTTGCAACACAGGAGCAGTAACTAAAACTGCTTCTTTTCGAATTGCTCTCTCATTGATGTGACACCTTGAATCACATAAAAGTCAGGTATAGTCACAAAACAAATAAATAAACAAATACTACTACGTATATAAATAGAATCTAAAAATAGGCAGAGTGTTACAAGAGTCCTGGTAGCTATCTATCTGGCTATCCAGCTGAACAAAGCATTATCTATATATACATGACTAGTATCTTCCCTCTCTTCCTATCAGCTAAATAATTGGGATAAACATGTGCCTCTTTTAAATGTTCCTTGATCTATAAATGACTAGTATTTTCCTTCTCTTCCTATCAACTAAATAAATGAGCTTTCAAAATTAATAACACCAAATGTTTAAAGTTCATCAACCAAAGATCACAGAGCTCATGTGTGTCTATATATATATATATATATATATATATAGGGAGCGGTTCCGGTAAGAACGGGTCTTAGGAGAAAAATGAGAACGAATCTGGACCGTTGGATTGAATTATGTGGAACTGAATTGTGCATCTGGTGAAACTGAAATGTGTATTAGATGATATTGAAATATGCAGAATAAAAATTTAAAATCACATGTGCATTAGGTGAAACTGAAATGTGCAGAATAAAAGGTACAAAAATAACATCATCACATCGTATCTTTTATTCTGCACATTTTGGTTTCACCTAGTGCACATTTCAAAATCACCTAATGCACAATTCTGCTTCACATAATGTCACTTTATCGTACCTTTTGTGCTACACATTTCAGTTTCACCTATTACACATTGCAGTTTCATCTAATGCACATCAAATATCACATAAAGCAAATCCAACGGTCCAGATTCATTCTCATTTCTCTCCTAAGGTCATGTTCTTATTTACACCAAAACCTATATGTGTGTGTGTGTGTTTGTGTGTGTGTATAATGTTATGTTTTAGCATGTTGTGAATTCAATGATTGATATCAGCAAGATATTACATTTCTAAAAAGTAGTACTTCGGTAGATTTGCTGAAATTCATGTTTTCACCTAGGGATAGACTGGGACGGGACGGCCCGGCCCGCCACTGTGCAGACCCAACACAAACTGCCGGACAGTACCAGGACCGGTACTGGGGGGCCAAACCGGGGAGAGGGGGCGGGCTGCGGGACAGGCAAAATGGTGACCGGCCCGGCCAGTCCGGGCCTAACGGCCATATTTTAAATAAAAAATGTTCAAATCATTTAATGGCTTTGCAGCCTTGTGCGGGGTGGCCAAACGGCTCTATTGCCATTGGAGAGGTCTGGGGGTTGGGGGAGGGTGGGTGGGGGGGGGGGGTTGCAGCCTTGTTTATAAACCTAACTCAAACCAATATTTTGTTGAAGTTGTTAATCTCGCCGATGCTTTTTGTGAATTTTCTGATTCCCCTTACGTTCATCATTTTTGTGATTTCATGAAAGAAAAGTTTTTAAAATATTATTCACAATGTTTAGAGTACTATTATGCTTCATTTTTGGTCCATTTCCTATGTACGAAGATAAGCCCATTGATACTAAAGAGCAATACAACAAGGTTAGTAATTTATTTCATCAATTATATAATGAGTTTCATGCGCAATATGGTGACGCACATCCTCCGCCGACACGGACATCTTCTCCATTTAAAGGAAAATCATTTTTGAAATCTACTTTTGGTAATCTTATGGAGAAAAAAAAAGTAAAGCAACTCCCGTTGTTGCACAAAGCTCGATTAACGAGCTTTCTTTATCTAACGTTTCCTATTGACTGTGAAGACGGAGATGACTTTGACGTTCTGCAGTGGTGGAAGAAAAAAGAAAGAACATTCCCGGTTTTATCAAAGATGGCTAAGCAAGTGCTAGCAATGCCGGTATCAACAGTTGTCGTAGAACAAGAATTTAGTGTGCAGGCAACGTCCTAACGGATTATAGAACGAGATTGAGCGCAAAATCTCTTGAGACGCTTGTTTGCTTCCACGATTGGTTGAATGTCCAACGTAAAACTCAAGAACTTAGCATTGCCCCCACCCTCCGCTTTATGGAGGAAACAACAACCGACGGTGCCGGAGATTACGATTGATTATTAGGAAATGTATTTAATGTTGTAAAATTTTCTCAATTCTCAATTGTAGTTGATATTTCAAATAAATATACTTTAACTTTTTATTTTCTAGCACTTCTTGAATTAATTTTTAAACAAGATTTCTAAAACAAATATTGCCCGGCCCGATCCGACCCGAGACCCGGGCCTAAAACAAATATTGCCCGACCCGACCCGACCCGGTAGAATCCAGATGTGGCTTATAAGCACATTAGTATTTATTTTTATTTTAGCTATTGCTTATCAAAACAATATTACCTACAATTATTTTTAGAGTATAAATAATTCATATTTTTGAAATTTTAGAAATTGATAAATAAAACTACAACAACAACAACATCCAAGCTTCAATCCAAAAAGATTTTGGAGTCGGCTAACATGAATCGATCCATATAACATCGCTACCAAAAAGAGAAGACAGAAAAAAGCAAAAAAAAGAAAAAGATAAAATGAATAATATAAAGATAAATAAATATAAGACAACTAACAATAACATAAGAATATAGGAAAGACAAAAAGATAAAAGAGCATAATAAGCTAGAAGATTTTTTTAGATTAAATAAGAAGCTAGACGATAAGAATAACATTAGAACATAAATGATAAAAAAGATAAACGGTAAAAGAAAAAGAGAGACGAAAGATAGAAAAGAGATCAATCATACTCATATTTTGATTCGTGTCATAGATGTGACTATGGGATACTGTTGGTCGTCACGCGCCTACCACATCAACATCCTCCTTTATTCTGGCTTGGGAGAGACATGATACCGAAATTGATCTCATGACGGAATTTGATAAATAAAACTACTTAAAAAATAAATTGAATTAAAATAACGGTTTTAATTTAATTTGAATAACACGAGTACCAACAACAATTATCAAAGTGTGTGTCACAAAATGGTTGAGATACTAATTTTAATTAAAATTGTTATGGCGTTTTCCCAATTTCTGCCAATTTGTCTTTTCAATCTATATTCATCTAATTGTTTGCCTATGAATCGTAATCTCTAATGGTGTGTCACGTTTGCGTGACACACGACTAAAACCCTAGATGGAGCAGCCGACGGCCACAGTCAGCGCCCCTCACGGATTAGCAGCTTAATCGGATTGAATGGATGACCAAGCAGTGGAGAAGCAGGTCAGCTCTGGTCTTGGCTTCGGCTTTGTTTGCAAACAATTAATTTAAGTGCTTTTGGCTTTTTTTAAAGAAAAAAGCACTTATTTTACCAAACAATACCAACTTTTACTATCTCGGTTTTCGTGTAGAATCTACTTTTTACTTTTTCTATTACACAAAA